AAAAAAAAAAAAAGCAAAAAAGTCTGAATTGCCCACTCTGGTTCTCTGTCCCTTCCATTTTTCTTTCCTATTTCCAAATTCTCTCTCCAAAAAAATCATCTTCTCTGCTAGCGTTGCAGCCCTTCCGGTTGCTCTTAACCGCCAGGACCACCGCCTCCGCCAGCACATCCGACTCTTCCGCTGACGCATTCCACTCTCTTGCGAGAGCGAACGCCCTTCACAGAGAGGTACTCTCTCTTCTCTCTCTTTCTTTCTCTCGCACACACTCACTTCATCATCAATTTGAAAAGGATTCAAGGTGAAAACATAAACATAGGCTGATAATTGGGATTGGAATGTAATCGAAATAACTGATAGTTCTAAATCTTAAATTTAGGGTTCATATTGACAATAAAGAAGCCGATTGTTATTGATTTGGGAACAATAACTTGATGTTTCATTTTTTTCCCTCTTTTCTAAGGCAATTCATTTTACATTCTGATGTTGGAATACAAAATCTATGGGAGTGAGGACAATAACTATTAGCTTGCCTAGAATTTGGATTATAAAGTTGCAAACATCACTTTTGCAGTCAGATTTTTCATACTTTATTTTACTTTTTTTTCTTGGTTTTTATTTTTGTTTAGAAATTTTTGGTCATTTCATTTTTTTTTTTACATTTAGTCGCCATGCTGTAATGAAGAGACTAAGATATATATGTAAGAAGATAACTAATTGTTACACATTTTTTCAACTTCAATATTGTTGTGTGGTGGATAATTTGATTAACTATTGTTGTTTCTGTCTTGGTGGTTATGTGAGCAACCATGATGTTCGATTTTGTTTGTATGATGTTAATATATTGTTTTCCCTTGTGACTTATTAGTTTTCAACTTAATTAAACTTAAGAGCTTAAATGTGTGTTTGGAGTTGTTAACATACAGTAGCTTATTGAAAATAATGAGAATTTCCCAATGGGCATACATTGCATTGTTGTGGATGATAACCCAATTTGCTTGATGTTTTTTATTACTCTGCCTATGAAATGCCAATACCATGGTGTTTTTCCTCTTCTGCAACTTTTTCTCTAATATGTTCATTTGTTTTGGCTGATTGGGGTCAAAATTTGTATGGAATTTTTTGAATTGACAGAATCAAGAACTAAAAAAAAAAAGAGAGAGAGATAAGTTGTGATAAGAACTGGATAAAGCAAAAATTAGATTACCTTTATCAGTTGATGCAATTCAAACACATAGAGCCTGTATAGTTTCCAAAATATGATAAATGGTGGTTGTAGTACGGAACTAATAGATTATATACATCATTTATATATATCAGAGGGAAAATTTCTATTACAACAAACTATGTTAGGAACATGATACAAATAAGTTGTGAAAAAGAGAGCACATAACAACTTGAAAGTCATATTTCACAAAACAAATGGTCCAAAAGATCCTCGTATTTAAAATTGTGAAATATATTTTTTCCAACTCCATGTCATGGTTTTACTTGAGGATGCTTGTAGGTATCTTGGTTATTATTTTGGGTACGGTTTAAGCAATATTTTTTATGGTGTTTTTGAGTAATTAAGTAAAGTTCTAAGTGTCTATATGTATCAGATATTATGTTCACATGAATTTGGCTATGTTTAAGTTTAATTAATTGAATTGATGAAATTTTTAACCGACTGTGTTTCCGTTTTTCTTTTCAATTCTTTTTCATTTTAGTAAATTGTTTTAAGATATCCTACAAGTGACTTTTTTTGCTTTGAAAATTCAGGTTGATTTACTTTTATGTTTTTTTTTTTTTATTTACTTCTCATCTTATAATAAGTGTAAATCTTAGTTATATATTTTCACGTGTTACGTTTATAGGAAAACTCTAAGTATGAAGTGTTTCGAGAAGAAGGGATCGAGACAGAACTTGAGTGTAAAATGGATCAGATTTTTGCTATTTCTGCCCAAGGAAAGCTCAAATATACTCCAGCATCAACTCCACAACAAACACATGTGATGCAAGAAGTCGAGGATGTGTATGTTCCTTCTCCAGTGCGTGAGAGCGAGTGCATGAGAGCGGCACTAATATTTATGATGGTGACAACTGTTGTGCGGTGGATGAATCATGGGATGAGGTATGGACAGAGATTAGCCCGTCTCGTACACCTACCTCTATCCCTTCTCCCGGTGACATACGAATTGAAGCGAATGATGGGAGAAAGGGTAGGAGGTCTTTAGCTGGGGGCTTCTCACAACGTAGTAAGGCTGCAAGAACCAACTCAGGTAAGAGAATAGGGGCTGCAGCAATTCAAGAAATGCTTGGAGGAATGATGCAAACAATTTCAGAAAGAAACCATTCAACGGAGGAAATTACTACTTCAATGAAGGACATGATGAGTTTGCACATGGATATAGCGAAGTCAACGAAGGAAAAGTGTAACTATGACCTTGGGGATGCTATGGCGAAATTAATGCACTCTTTCGGATTTGACAGCTATTTCGCCAAAATTTTTCTTTGCTTGCACGATTTTCGAAGAACCACAAAAAAGAATTATTTTTTTTGGATTGCCTGATGATAACAGTAGGGTTGAATACATTAAGTACATGTATAAGGAGCATAAGAAAACAAATAGTTAAGTTTATTATGTCTTTACTTTTTGATGGTATGATTCTGAATGATGTGTTCTTTTTATTTTGTAGACATAGTTTTGGGTTGTATGGTAATGTTGGATGTTTATCTATTGATGGTTTATTTTGGTATTTGTACTTTCTAAATTAACTTTATTAATCTATGAAGTTACTTTTGTAAAATTGATATAATTCTTTTATTCTAACTTTTGCAGGCATGGAAAATAATAATGTGAAAATTAGGCAACTTCTTCTGTATGAACAACAATATCTTCAATGTTTAGAGTACTTGAAAGAAGAAGATGAATTTTGGACCAAAATAGAGTCATTTGTTCATGTTTTGCACTTCATAATTATATCAGAAGAAACACAACTGGTGATCCGGGCTTTAGAGTTATTGATGCGAATCCTGAATTCATACCTCCTGATGTGTTCCACGATGTTGAAAGTAGTTCTGCACAAGGTGATGGGGAAATGAGGACTCGGGAGATGCCAAACGTTCGTAATGATATAGCTTCAAGTTTGATGGCATACAGACGTCGTTCTTAAAGTATTTGTTTCTTTTTTCTTTTTTATTTTTATTTTTTATTTTTTAATTATAATAGTGAATATTGCGATTGAGCCACATTTATATTTTCCATTAGTATGACTTAACGTTGGCTTTGTTTATATGGCGTGAACTTAATTACTCGATCATGAAATATTTTTATTTTATTATTGTTTATATATTTTTTATCATATATTAATCATTTTAATAAATATTTTAAATATTGAATATTTTTATTTCTTAAATTATTATAAGTTCAACATAAATTAAAATGATAAAGTATGTTGATGTCCTTATAAGTAATTTTACATGTTAACAGCTAATTAAAAAAGTTAATTTTACCAAACACTTTTTTACAAACAACTAACACGATCAGCTGGTCAAAACAACTAATGCAATCAGCTGGTCAAAACAGCTAATACAAACAGCTAACAGCTAACAGCTAACAGCTGATTACCAAACAAGGCCATTATGGGTTGACAAATTTCTTTTCGCTTCGTAAGCTTTGTGTACCAATTTATTTACCAGATGAGGTCATGTTTTGTGTGTAAGAAAACTCCGAACATCTACAATGCATCGGGTCTAGTTTGATCTATGTGGAATGTAAATAAATCAAAGTCTTGGATGTCATGGATAAAATTAGGTAAAATTAAAAATTCACTTCAATGCAAAGAGACTATAGGTCTCTACTTTAGTCTCATATAGATTTAAAGTTGGACGGAATCTCTTTTTTTTTTTGTTGTCACATCAGCAATCAACAAGACTCAGTTCACTTGCACTTGCATTGGAGAATATATTTTACTAGACTGAGTCTGTTTCCTACGTGGCATGTACATTATTTTAGTGAACCCAACACATTATGGATGCTCGTTTTGGTTTTCTTTTCAAAATGAGAAATAAAATTCCGTGCTTAAAGAATTTCTGAAATTCTAAATAATGTACTTAGTGTTTGCATAAAAAAAATCTAACTCATACTCAATTTTAAACTCAAAATCTAATTTAATTTTAACTCAATTCCACTATTCTCAATATTATCAATTAAATTAAATAATATCAATTAATAATTCTTACACATCACATCAACTTAATTACTATTCATCAGCTCACAAAATTTTAACTGATCATCATTTCACATCATCTCGATCCTACTTTCACATCAAATTAATTTTAATTATTTTATTTTAAATATTATTTCAATATAAAATCAAAATTCCACTTACAACTAACCATATAACTTTTTTTTAAAACTAACTCTGATGTGTAAGAATGATTGATTGATATTATTAATTATATTGATAATTTTAAAGATAACGAGATTGAATTAAAGTTATTTGATTGATTTTTAACTATTCAATTTATATACAAATCACACCCTAAAATTTTATTGTTGCCCATACAAATTGTCTTGTTAAAGTCACCTGGCACATTATAATCTGAGAATTGATTCTCTTCAAGTTTACTTTTGCTCAGACTTCTTTGACTGTCACTCACAAGCCATCGCTGAGGAGGAAGACGAAGACGAAGACGACGAAGAAGAAGAATGGGCTCCGACTCGAATATGGTGCACTCGCCCATTATCACATACGCTTCAATGGTGTCCCTTCTCTCTCTTTGCCCGCCTTTTGTCATTCTCTTGTGAGTCTTCTCTATAAATCCTGTATTTCTTGATCTGTTTTTTCTTAAGATCTTCTTCTCCGTTTGAAGTCCTCTATAAATCTTTGTATTTTGGTTAATCGGTATTTATGGATTAGATTCTTCTGTCTGCAGATAGTTTGTTTGATGCTCGATTTATGTAATCAGCGTTTACGAATTACTTTGCTGCTAAAGTAATGGTTTTTGTGCTTAATCTGGTTTTTCTGACAGCTAATTGGATGAAAGGCTTGAGCTAGATAGAGTAACTGCAGTTGTTCGATATTTCGACTGACTTCATAAATGTCGAAAATTTGAATTTGTTAACTTAAAGTTAGTTCATCATACTTCAGTAGTTTTATGGGTCTGATGAGATTGGAATTAGAAATTGTCCGGATACAAAATGCCTGTCATATATCCTAATAGTACCTTCTGAATGATTTTCTTTACTTACAACTGGATATGGATAAAACATGTGTGCAGATGGTATACTATGGTACATGCCGATGGATCTGTGTTGCAAACATGGGATTACCTTCGGCAGAGTGGTCTTCAGGGTTTCATCAATATCTGGCCGAAGCCCTCCTTAATAGCTTGGAAGATTATTGTGTGTTATGGGGCATTTGAGGCTGCACTTCAGCTTTGGCTACCTGGGAAAAGGGTCGAGGGTCCTATATCCCCTAATGGAAATAGACCCGTCTACAAGGTAGTATTACTTCAAGATCATTATACATATATGTATGTATTTTTTTTTTCTTTTTTTCTTTTTTTTTTTCATGCAA